ACAGGTTTCTTTTATTGATGACGGTGCCTGCTTCCGCCCTGTTTCAAAAATCTATTTAATAAAGTGTCCTGCTTCTGTATTTATCGCAAAGCTTTTCGACTGATTACTTTACCCGATTCTTTTCATTTTTCCAATGCTGTGGATTAACGTAATTTTTTTTTTTTCTTGTTTGGTTCTTTGTCACACTCCTCTCCCTAAATACCTGCTCCACTGACCTTGGTTTAATCAGACTATGACTGTTGCATGACACTGAAACCAGAGGAAGGGCTGACATGCTTTGATGTTGAAGAAGTTTCTCTCCGTCTCAGGCGGTGTCATTCTGCAATCATATTTATTACGTCTATCGAGCATATTTGTTTATCTTATGCTTTCAGTGTCTAGAGAACATTACAAATGACATCAGCATTATAAGATAGCAAAAGAGTCCCATTCACAAATGAGTGGGGTGGGGGAATGAGCATGAGTAACTTTTAAAAACACATTTTAAAATTATGATAAAATACATCCTCAGCAATTTTTAAGTGTACATGTAGTTCGGTGGTATTAAGTACCTTCACACTGTTGGGCAACCATCATCCATCTCAAGAACTCTTTCCATCTTGCGAAACTAAACTCTGTACCCATGAAACAATAGCTCTCTGTTCCCACTCTCCCTGGCACCTGACAACCAACTACCATTTTACTTCCTCTGTCTATGAGTTTGACTCCTCTAGGTCCCTTATATTAGTGGAATCATAAAGTATTTGCCCTTTGGTGACTGACTTATTTCACACAGCATAATGTCCTCAAAGTTCATCCACAATGCAGCATGCATCAGAATTCCCTTCCTTTTTAAGGCTGAGTAATATCCACTGTATGGATACACCACATTTTGTTTTTCCATTCATCTGTCCATGGACACTTAGGTTGCTTCTTCCCTTTGAGTACTGTGACCAAGGCTGCCATGGACGTGGGTGTGAAAGTATCTCTTCAGAGTGTGTGCAATTTTAAAAGGCTTAAAGTCACAGAGAAACACAGATATAGGATGAGAACGGTGCACAAGTGCTTAAGTTTACCGTGGAAAGCACTTAACGTCAGATGGGAGCTCTGCAGAAGAGGGCACTGTTGAGTGGCACTTTCAAGGTAGCAAGAGTTTGGAAGCAGTACTCAGGGAGGGCACTTGGCCTATTAGTATCGTGCACAGAATAATCATACACGTTGAGAAATGAGTGACGCGGGGGGGGGGGGTAAAATGCGGGTGGGACAGTGTCTAGGCTAGAACATACAGTACTGGCCAGAATAAATGAGGAAAATGCTATGCAATTGATATAAAACATTAAACATCATGATTTTCATGTTTCTGCAAAGAAATCATGACAATGATAAAGTGAGTTTCTTAGAACTGAAGAGCTATGCATTGGACTGTACGTCCCTTGAGGGCAGGCCTAGCCCACAACTGTGACCCAATGCCCAGCAAACAGTACTTGCACTGGCACCCAGGGGCACTCAGTAAACATCTGTCAAATACATGTGTAAGTGATCTCCTCTAGGCACCTCATGCTCATACAACTGCAAAAGATGCTTGTTGCTGATGAAGATGGGCTAAAAGAGAATGCTGTTGTTGCTGGTTTTATCTGGAGGAATTAGGGCTGGCTGGCATAGCTCTAAGAAATAACAAAGGTATTGGATCTGAAACATATTAAAAAGGAAGAATCTGTGAGACAAAAATGCTAGAACTCATTGGCTAGGATTTTGTTTAGATCTATTGTCAATACCCAAATGTGTTAGTTTGTTCTAAGTTACTTTAACTTTCTATAACCAATGGGTATTTTAACAAGGTGTTAATTTCTTTCCCTCTGCCCTGAGTGTGTTCTCAATCACTACCTTTCTTTTGCAAGGCTTGCCTGTAGTCAATATTTTCTTATGAAGATACTTGCCATCCTAAAGGATACAGAAGCAGAAACAGACTCACAGACATAGAAAACAAACTTATGGTTACCAAAAGGGAAAGGGGTTGGGGAGGGATAAATTAGGAGCTTGGGATTAACAGATACAAACTACTCTGTATGAAATAGATAAGATAAAAAACAAGGTCCTACTGTATAGCACAGGGAACTATATTCAATATCCTGTAATAACCATAATGGAAAAGAATATGAAAAAAGAATTTTATATATATATATATATATATATATATATATATGAATCACTTTGCTGTACACCTGAAACTAACACAACATTGTAAATCACCTATACTTCAGTTAAAACAAAAAAGGAACACAAACATGATTCTAATTAATGGATATGCTTATTTTGTTATATTAGACTAGTCTATCTTTACTTCTTCCAGGGTGGAAAAAAAAGAAACAATGCATTCATTAATTATCTTCTGTTTATACACAAACAGTAGAGGTTTTAGTTTTTTCCCCTAAATGTGATTACGTGCGAGCAATAAATGGATGTGACTGGCACTGCACTAGAACTGAATACTGGGATTTGATGGTTTTACGTGTTAAGCCAGGGAAGAAAATTTAGTCTACACTTCCATGTTGGAAACGCCCTGGCTGAAGGGACTGAGTCCACCTTGTGTATTCTCGGGTCCTAAATGGAACATGATAAATATGTTTGCTGACTATTTCTAGCACATATCATCCTCAACATGGTGTTACTGGTAATGAAATTATAAGGTTTTCCAATCCTAGACTCAGGATATAACACAAATGTTTTACAGACTCGAGGTTGCCAAGGGGGAGAGGGGTGGGGGAGGGACGGACTGGAAGTTTGGGATTAGCAGATGCAAACTAGGATATATGAAATGGATAAACAACAAGGCCCTACTGTATAGCACAGGGAACTATATTCAATATCTTGTAATAAACTATAATGGAAAAGAATATGAAGAGGAATATATACATGTATAACTGAATCACTTTGCTGTACAGAAGAAATTAATACAACATGGTAAATCAACTATACTTCAGTAAAATATATTTTAAAAAAACACTACCAAACGTAAGGTAGATAGCTAGTGGGAAGCAGCCGCATGGCACAGGGAGATCAGCTGGGTGCTTTGTGACCGCCTGGAGGGGTGCGATAGGGAGGGTGGGAGGGAGGGAGATGCAAGAGGGAAGAGATATGGGAACATATGTATATGTATAACTGATTCACTTTGTTATGAAGCAGAAACTAACACACCATTGTAAAGCAATTATACTCCAATAAAGATGTAAAAAAACCCCAAAATACAAAAAAACCAGACGTTTTAGACGATAAAGATCAAAGATAGTTAATAAATATGCCATGAGAAACTGCAGTGAAATGAGACATCGCCAGTGTGGGCTGGAGGCACCAACCCTGGTCTGGCCTTCCGTGTCCGGGTAGCAGACAGCCACGCACATGCCGAGGAGGCACCGGCCCAGGCACACAGGGGCCCCTCCAGCTACTCTCAACATTTATTATTCGGGAGCTGTGTTCTTTAGGTGTTTGTGGAAGGTCAGCGTCTAATCTGGTTCCGCCCACAGCTGCACAGTTATAGTTTTCTTCACTGCATTTGCCCTCGTTTAGTATCATTTGACATTCTCTCTGCTTGGCAGTTTTCTCTTTAATTCCTTTTGGAAAACTATTTTTTCCCTAGTTTGTCATTTTACTTAAAAAATGTGTTCTGGAGTTGTCTGCTTTTTCTGTCTTTCCTATTTGAAACACCTCCCATAAACTGCTTACTTATGAGAAAAATAATTCATTTTATCAGCATCATAAAGTGATACCTATTTTTTGAACGGTTTCTTAAAGATGACCTGGACTCATTAGTAAGTTATTTCATGGGGAATGTTCTGAGCAATCAATGATATTCTCTTGACGATACTGACTTGAGGCTGAGAGGGAAGGGAGCAGGGACAAAGGCATAATGGTCCACTTGCTGGATACACAGAATGCACAGAAGTGAGAGAAAGCCAGGCTCTGCCTTGGGCATCACGTAAGTGGCCTTCCTGGAACAAGGTTAGGGGAATTTGTCACCATCTGCTTGTCAACTTTCTTGGGAGCATTAGCTATCATCCTGCTTAAAGGGATCAGGCATGACCACGTGGTACCTGGAGGCCTTTTCTGGCTCTATTATTCCATAAGGCTGTTGGTTTTTACATTCCTAGCTGAATGTCATTATGTCACTGATTCCAAGCCTCAGTTTCTGGAGGGGTATCACCTTATCTGCCTCCTTCATCAAGTTTTCTTAAAAATTATTAAACATAATGTAGGACACAGTGCTTTGAAATTAGATTATGTATAATGACAATGATCCCACTTTGGCATAAATCTGTGATAAACTTTCCACCATTGGTTTGTAACATTTCACTCTCAAACTTCTGAGTACCTGACTAAACCAATCTTTCTGATATTAACTTCTCACCCTCCTCCTCATTATTATTGTTATTTTAATTATTATTTTTTTGAGACCAGAGTTCTAGTCTATTTCTTTGCCACTTTATAACTGTGGGGAAACTACAGCTGTTGGGTTTGGTTCTCCATGCATGTCCTTTTTTTCTTTTTCATTGATTTTTTTTTTTTTTTACTGTTTCATTGCTACTCTGGGTACCTATGTTACTCAGGTAATGATGCAAACAGTGCAAATTTCCTAGGCTCCTCAAAGACACAACTGAATGAAAAACATTTCCACGTCTCATTTTTCAGCAATGGTCTTAGCGTTCAGAACACAAGTTTCACTCCTATTGATTATTTATACATATTTTTTTGCCTCGCACGTTTGGGTAAACGTAGGGATAGATAATAGGAATCTTTGTTTACTAAGGTTATATAATAATTAACTTAAGTATAACTATAAAGTTACCTTCCTGGATTGATATTGAAAAGCACGATCTGGGTCTCAGTCTAAACTTTTTCTTCTGTGTTGGCAATTTTTCTAGTTGCAAAAGTTATTTGAAGAAGTACTCACTGCGTTTCTGGAGAATAACGATTCTTCAATATACTCACATTTCATGCTGGGTAAATTATCATCACTGTACACCCACCTTTACATGTGTTGAAACAGATTCTGGTTAAACAAATGCACAGTCCCTGGAAAGCAGCCAAAAGCTTTTCTCCTGCAGTTCCTGGTACTCCTCTTAGTTAGCCTTGTGTTAGTTTTCTATCCTGTTTTACAAACACAAATACAAGTTATAAGACACTGTTCAGGAATCCCAGCATCAGAATTAAGTCATATGTATTGTTAGTTGGTTATAAAAGAGCAATTATTATTATTATCATTTTTTTAACTTCTTTATTGGAGTAGAATTGCTTTACAATGGTGTGTTAGTTTCTGCTTTATAATCTTTGCTGGGACAAAGAGAAATTATTAATACTTAATTGTGTTGGTGACGGTGCCATAATTTTTGAACAGCATTATAATGTAGTGGGTTAGATTTCCATCCAGAAATACTCCCATTAATGTTTCTCCTCTATTACTTTGCGAATGTTCAAAGTGCAGTTTTAGAAAACTGTATTCTGATTTTGGAATTTAAAGATTCTGTTCTTAACCTTCAATAAAGCAGTTTCAAATCTGCCCCTTTTGCATTCCACAAGGAAGTGAGCCTTGGTGTGCATGTCAAGGGCACATCGACATGTGCCCTCGACATGTCTGGGAGACAGCACGCATAAGGCCCAGGGCCCATCTGCACCCCACTGCCCTTCATCACTGACACTCCCTTGGCTCCTGGCTCTTGGTTTCTACTTCCCATGCAGCACCAGGTAGTGCGGAATGGAAGTGAGTGTCTTCAAAATGTGCACCAGAATCTGGGAATATCTTGACAACTGATGTGAGTGGAGAGTCGCTTCAAGACCAGCAAGGACTCCAAGTAAAGGAATCAGAGGGCCTCCACTGCCCTGTTTTCTTGGAGACAGATCAGATCGCTCCACATACTAAAGTAGATTAACTGGGGTAGAGGATGGGACTTGCTGTTGCTCCTTGGATCAAGCAGAGATCAGTGTGTATGTGACTGATTGCAGACCCTAACCACAGTATCACTGAAAGAGTTGGCCGACTTTATCCTACACGATGGACACACCGTAAAGTAAATAAGGCGGCTTGAATTTTAACAACAGCTGAACTACAGGTGCTTTCTTCTGATTTGGGAGGACCACCTAACCTATTACATCAGAACATGCAGCTCTTTCTGCTGTTCACCTCCTTGGATGGTCCGGAGGCACATCAGAAGATAGAAATAAGCCCACAAAAATCACCATGGGCCATGACGTTTCTAGTTTGCCTTCAGTTTAACGATGCAAGAGAATGTAAGGAGAGACGAGAAGAAATCTCATTCAATGCCTCTGTTGTGTGAGTCCCTAATGAACAATATACACATCTAGCTGTGGCCATTTTAAAATGGCTATAGCTTTTTTTTGGCGGTACGCGGGCCTCTCACTGTTGTGGCCTCTCCCGTTGCGAAGCACAGGCTCCGGACGCGCAGGCTCAGCGGCCATGGCTCACGGGCCCAGCCGCTCCGCGGCATGTGGGGTCTTCCCAGACCGGGGCACGAACCCGTGTCCCCTGCATCGGCAGGTGGACTCTCAACCATTGCACCACCAGGGAAGCCCGGCTATAGCTTTAGTGTGAGATAGTTTAAAAAAATACAAAATTGCCCCTGAAATGTAAAGAAGAAAAAGCACAATTTTTGGCCACTTGTTTTGCTGTCTCTCTTGAAGATCTGTGAGGTATCTTCCTATTTACTGTGCTGTAGAACTACTGGTTCTTCTGGGCTTGGGGATTCAAAAATGGATTATCTGAACACCCTGGAGGTCTTGCCCACCTGATGAACATGGGGTGCGGCCTCGCCCGTGTCCTGGATGCCCTATGAGCACAGGGGCAGGTAGCTGTCTCTGGGGAAGCCCCTGAGACTGTGTCTAGAAATGAACTGTGAAAAGGGTGTGGACCAGGGTCAGAGGGGAGTAGGGGAACCCAGATCAGTCACACAGCCTCTTCATTTATGAGAACCAAGGATGACTGGCAGGGCAAAACAGCTCTTAGACACCTCTAGCCTGCTCTGCACTTCAAGCTTTACTGTAAACAACACATTAACAGGATGATGGTATCTGATTTAGCAGCCTGACATATGTCAGAGCTCACGGTAACAGGGCTTCAGTGAGATTTTTTCCATACACGTTTCTTCAATGAACATTTCCACATAGCAAATACTTGCCACAGTCATCTTAATGACTTTAATCTTCACACTTAACTTTTCTACAGGCTTTTGTACATGCATTTAACTTTCCAATCAACTTTCCCTGATCCTTTAAATGCGTATATATGCAGCTCAATGCCTTTAACTATCTTTCTCAACATGGCCAGAAAACAGTAGAAAATTGAGGTCAAATGCAGGCTGAGCTAGGAAGGGATTGTAGATCTATCTGTTTGCTACTCTTCTCCCTCCGAAGGAACCACAGGTCCCAAGATGATAGCTGATCTCTAGAAATATTAGAAATGTAACTGTGGAAAGTGTTGACCCAAACCCTTCCTATGCGTATGATGAAGTAACTGACCACGTGCCTCTCAGAGGGGTCCTAAGATGCACACCTACAACTGTGGGATCCGTGCCCACCAGCCTCCGTTATTCCAGGTGACACTGGTTGGAGGGCAGGGAGGGCAGATGTCCCAGAGGGGTACTGCTACTCAGCTTGGCTGTGGGCTCCGGTCAGGCAGGTGCGCTAAGTGGTGGGTGGCAGAGAGGATGACTGACATCCCTACAACATGAGGTGCTCTCAGGAGCACAGAGGACCCTGGCCCTTGGGAGTCTGGCCACATGCATGACGCAGGACTGTGGCTCTCAGTCAACCGATTACACGTGAGGCAGGACTCTAGGACAAGAGGGACACATACATTTGATTTAATAACTGGAAACCAAGGCGTTGCCAGGGGGTGGGAGGAGCACGGGAAGGGCGAGAGTGAATATCATTTACTATGATGTGTGCTGTAAGCTGAAATGTGTATCCACGCTGCCCCCCTGCCCCCATTCTTACATTGAAGCCCTAACCCCCAAAGTGACCATATTTGGAGACGGTACATTTAAAGAGATAATTAAAGTTAGATAAGGTCATAAGTGTAGGCCCCTAATACAGAAGGGACACCAGGGATCTCTCTCTAGGCATGCGCAGAGGAAAGGGCAGTGAGGATAGAATGAGCAGGTAGCCACCTGCAAACCAGGAAGAGAGATCTCACCCGAGAGCAACTCTGTTGGCATCTTGATTTTGAACTTGTCCTCCTGAGACGTGTGAGAGAATACATGGCTGTAGCCTAAGCCACCCAGTCTGTGGTGGCCATCAGAGTGGACAGAGGCAGTGTGGCAGATACCACAGGCACTATTAATTCATTTAATTCTCAAAACCTCTGTGTGAAACAGGCTTTATTATCTCCATTTTATGCGTGCAGAAACAGGCTGAGAAAAAGAAAGCCATGTCTCTAATGCTCCATGGCAAGTAAGTGTCTCTTGACATTTGAACAGGGAAGGGGCACGGTAACAGCGGAGCTTGTTTTTTGACTGAATTGCAGTTCCCTGAGTCCGGAGAGGGGGGAATCTCTTTATGATTTAAAGATCTGAGCTGAGAAATTGGTGCGAGCTTGTGGAAGCCAGCGGGTGGAGTAGTGGGTTTGTCGGGGGTGAGGGTGGAGGTTGTGCATGTGAGTGCTTATGTGTTAGGGGGAGGCATCAGCTGGGAAGAGCTGGGGGAAAGTTTGAAAGACTCTAGGTGGTCCCAAGGACCCAGGGGGAGCTCTGGCCCATGACAATTTCAGTGGGGCTGTGTCCTATCTTGAAAATTTCAGCAGTTCTGGGGAGGGGACCATTAGAGAATATGACTCACATCAAACTGACTGAGAAACCCCTGTTAGGAAGGGGAAGGTAAGGAGATAAAGGCTGTTGTGCAAAGACTCAGGGAAGGAGACCTTGAACGAAGAGCTAGCCTGGATTTAAGTAGGTCTTCAGGATTGAACAGGGAGCTTCCGCGATGGGCATTCCTGGCTCCCTAGAGAGGGTCACGAGTGCAGCGAACTCTTAGGTGGCACTTTCTATGTCCAAGTATTCTGCAAAGCTTTTGGCATAATCAGCTCATCTATCCTCACAAGTGCTTTTTGAAACCAGTACTAATATCCCTAAGTTTATAGATAAAGAAAGTGAGGCACAGAGAGGCTGGATGTAGTTTCTCAGGTCACACAGCCAATAAAGGGGCCAAGGTTTGAGCCCAGGTGGACTCACTCCCCTGTTCCTAACCACTAAATTCCACCTCCCGGTGACTTCCTGAAGAAATCCACCTTGCTCTGTACTTCCTGGACCAGGAGAGGGGCAGGCAGGCACGGCCAGCAAAGTTCTGAGCCTGGTATCCGAAAGGCTGACATTGACTCTTTTTCTTCCTCCACCTGTGTCTCAGTTTGCCTTCCTTCAAACAGTGTCATTCACTATAGATCTTACTTATAGACACTCCGTGGGATTAGTGAGGGAGTTCTTGGAAGTTATTAATAATTCTGCTCAGGAAAACAGGATTATGTGGATTTAAAAAAAAAAAAAAGGAGCATTCCTGCTGGAGTAGTAAAGCAAGACTGTATTAGGAAAGACCATCTCTTTGAAGCAAGGCAAACACATTCCCTTAGCCTGAATCAGCCTCATGGGAATGGGTAGCAGCAGACATCAATCATACTGAAGTGCAGCCTTTTCTGCCTTCTAGAAGCTTCTCTGCAGCCCTGTGGCTCTGCCAGCTATGAGAGCATCCAGATGGCATTAACAGGTGGGTGAATCCTCTGGATATACAACACTGGGAGGAGAGTCTGAGGGGACAAAGCTGACTAGAAGCCTGGTTTTGTTTTTTTTGTTGCTGTTGTTGTCGTTTCTCTTTTCTTTTTTTTTTAATAATTAATTTATTGGTTTATTTTCGGCTGCATTGGGTCTTCGTTGCTGTGCACGGGCTTTCTCTAGTTGCGGCGAGTGGGGACTACTCTTCGCTGTGGTGCGCAGGCTTCTCACTGCGGTGGCTTCTCTTGTTGCGGAGCACGGGCTCTAGGTGCATGGGCTTCAGTAGTTGGGGCACGGAGGCTCAGTAGTTGTGGCTCGTGGGCTCTAGAGTGCCAGGCTCAGTAGTTGTGGCGCACAGGCTTAGCTGCTCTGCAGCAT